GATGTGGACTATCACCTGATCTCTACACGTCATGTCTGTGGCTGAGTGGTGTGCGAAATTGGTGAAGCACGTGATCTGTGGTGTGAGAAAAGTCATGTGCAGACTTTGTGGCAAAAATCTGTGACACTACCCCCCTCTCAAGGCTCATTGTCCCGAGGAGCCAAAACCTTTATTACCCCTTCTAGTTGCTCGCAACAGTTGGTAGCTTCAGGAGGGAAGCCCTTCTGCATAATACTCGAAGATTATTTAGGCTATTCTATCTCTCAGCTTGACTGAAAATACGAAATCCGTTGTGTTGATCAATACGACCTTGAGTTCTCCAGTATAATCTGGATCGACGACTCCTGCGCCCACATCAATTCCTCGTGCAGCCAGTCTGCTGCGTGGAGTATTCGTGTATAGGTATGTTTGGGAGGGTCAGTTGCGACTCCCGTTCCTACCACAGCTCGTGAATGCGGAGGGATTTCATGTGTTTCTGCTGCATAAAGATCCCATCCTGCTGCTTCATTTGAGGATTTTTTCGGTGATTTGGCGAGATCTGTCATCTTATGATATAGGAAGAACTCATCTGGATGGTCGGACATGTTGATTCTGTGTGTGGAGATCAGTGCAACTTCATATGAGGATAGTTCGAAGTGTTTTCCACCAAAAGTGACAACCCTGATTGGTGCTTTGGCTGCATCTGGGTGTTGCTGGTGGAATTCTTGAAGAAGCTCGTCGGCGTTGGTAAGATTCGTTCGGGGTTCCCATGTATCGTCGGAATGGTCATAGCCTTTCCATTTGATGAGGTATTGGACCCTTCCCCTTACGACCTTCGAGTCTAGTATTTTCTCAACTTCGAATTCTGGTTCTCCTTCGATTTCTATAGCTGGGGGCTTTGGGGGTTCGCGGTTTATGACCGTATGTTGATGGTACATGATCAACTTGCTAGCATGGAAGACCAGGTGGACCTTCATTTGCTTAGGCAGTTCCAGTTTAAATGTGACTGGGCCTAGCTTCTGAAGTACTTTGTAAGGTCCGAAGTTTTGTGTGCCTAGCTTCGCGGACTTGACTTTTACTCTGAGATCCTTTCCCTTGAGTAGTACCAGGTCTCTGACTCTGAATGGGACTTCTCCCTTTTTCTCGTTGAAGTACCATTTCATCCATGAAGCTGAAACTTCCAATGCTGCCTTTGCCTGTTCTTGCGCCTCGGATCAGTGGGCGAATAGATATTCCAATGAGGGATGACATATTGATTCATGTACGTCTGGTGCCATTTTTGGATGTCGGCCATATTCGACAAAGAATGGGGAAAGTGCGGTGGATTCATGGGTCTGGTTGTTGTATGAAAATTCTGCTGTTGGCAGGTAATAGACCCAATCATTCTGTCTGTGGTTACAGTACATTCGTAGGTACTATTCCAACACCTGGTTAACCCTTTCTGTCTGACCATCTGTCTGGGGGTGATATGCAGTGGACATTGTTGACTTTATACTGAGCTTCTGACAGAACTCCTGGAATAGTTTGTTCGCAAATTGAGTACCTCTGTATGAGATAATCTGGCGTGGCAATCCATGGAGTTTGAAGACTTCATTATAGAATACGTTAGTGACTTGCGATGAGGTGACTGTATCATCCGTCGCATAAAAGTGTGCTCGTTTCGTGAGTCTGTCCACGACAACAAGTATTGCCGTCTTCTTTTCTCCCCTAAAGCCCATGGCTGGAGGAAGTTGTGTGATGAGATCCACTGTGACGATCTCCCATGGTCCTTCCGGTACCTCATTTGGTTGTAGTAGTCATTTTTCTCTTGAGTACTTGTTACGTTGACAACTGTTGCAACCTTGTACGTATTGTTTAACCATTACAGACATTCCTGGCCACCAATAGTTCCGAGTGATAAGCTCCAACGTCTTGAACCTGCCGGAGTGTCCAGCTGGTAAGGTGTCATGATGGAGTTTTATTAGGTCAAGGCGTAGCTGTTGATCCTTGGGGACATAAACCTTTCCACGATGGAGCAGCAGTCCATGCTCAAAGTTCCATTCTGCGAGGTTTTTCCCAAATTTGCGCTGTCCTGTAATCAAAAGCGCACAATAATCCTTGGTCATCATGTCATCTGTGAGTGCCTTCTTGATTCTTTCCAGTAGTTGAGCATCATCAACTTCAGATGCATGAGCGGGTCGAATCGCATTGATAGCGAAAAATTCGGGTTTTAACAGCATTTGATTCGAATTGTCGCTGTCTACCTCCCTCTCATGGTCTGGCCTCCTGGACAGAGGATTGGCACATAGCATTGTCTTTCCAGGTCAGTGACTGAGTATAAAATTAAAACGTGTGAGGAATAATGATCAGCACGCTTGATGTCGGGATAATTTCTGTGCCTGATGGAAGTATGTAAGGTTGAGATGATCTGACCAAATCTCAATGGTTCTGGGTGGCCTTCTAAATAGTGCCAGTATTCTTCTAGTGCTCGAATAATGGCGAGCATCTCCTTGTCGTAAATCTTGTAGTTTCGCTCGTGTTCGTTGAGCGACTTTGAGTAATATGCAACTGGGTGCCATAGCTTATCTTCTCCCAGTTGTTCCAGTACTGCGCCAGTTGCATAGTCTGAAGAATCTGTCTCCAGTCAGTAAGGCGCAGTATCATTGGGGAGTTGTAGAATCAGAGCTGAAGTGAACGCCATTTTGAGTGCACTGAAGGCTTGGTCTTGCTCTTCCTTCCATTGCCAGAGCACATCCTTACAGTGAGAAGCGTTAAGGGTCGTGCGAGTTTCACAAAGTCCTTTATAAATCACCTGTAGAAATTCGCGAATCCTAAAAAAGCCTGTACTTGTTTGACCTTTGTCAGTGCGGGCCAGCCAAGTACACCTTCGACTTTAGCAGGGTCCATCTGTACTGAGTTCTTGCTGATGATCATGCCAAGATACTCGATTGAGGACTGTTCAAAGAAGCATTTCTCCGGTTTGGCATATAAGTCATTGTCCCAGAGGCGCTGTAGAACTGCTTTCACTAGTCGTTGGTGTTCATCGAGATCGTGCGTAAATATGAGGATGTCGTCTAAGTAGACTACCACCTTTCCAGTGCGAATTAAGTCTTCGAGGACTGTATTCATCATTGTTTGGAAGGTGCTAGGAGCATTGCAGAAACTGAAGTACATTACAGTGGGTTCGAAGAGGCCACGATGTGTGATGAAGGCTGCTTTCTCTTCGTCTCCTTCCCTAATCCTTATGTTGTTGAACCCCCATCTCAGATCAAGCTTCGTAAATATACTAGCATGTGAAAGTCTGTCGGTGAGGTCCGAAATGCGTGGGATTGGGAACTTGTTCTTCTTTGTGACTGCGTTGAGGTTCCTGTAATCTTGTACGAGCCTCAGTGATCTGTCTTTCTTTTTGATGAAGAAGACGGGTGCTGCGGTTGGACTCCTTGATCTCTTGATGTAACCTTTGGCCAACTCTTGGTCTATCCACGTGTCGAGCGAATTTCTTTCCTGTAGGTTCATAGGATATAACTTTGCCGGGCGTGGTAACGATGCCTCTGGAACAAGTTCGATTGGATGATCATAGGGCTTTCTTGTGGGCATTCGTTCTGACTGCTTCTTGGAGAACACATCGCCATACTTGTGGAAGTGTTTGGGGACATAGGCTGACCAGTAGTCTTTGTCCTGTTCTCCTTTTTGCGGTGCTCTATCCTGATTCCTCTTGGTGTCAAGACCCATAATAAGCGATGCTACGGCTTGTGCATCAGGGTCTTCTGATAATGACACCCATCTAATGAAGCTGTCCATGTCGTTCCAGTTGTCACCCAACTCCTGGGAACCGACGAACTCCATTAGATCTTCGATGTGGGGGATGTTTGTGTCTTCCAGGTCCTCCTCCTGGATTGCTACCTGTGAGGTTGTGCATTTTTGTGGGCACCAGGTGAAATCGACTGTGAGTTTTCCCCAATCCACTTCGGGATTATGCTCCTTAAGGAAACTCATGCCTAGTATAACGTCTTTATGTCCTATATCGGTGACCAAAAGGCTTTGCCTGCTTGTGTGGTTTCTGATGGTTATACTTAGAAGAACCCTTTTCTTAATGGTTCCACCCTTGTTGTGAGATGCATCTGCATTGTAAACCCTGATCTCCTTCTCAAGTGAGATCATAGCGAGATTCAACTGATCAACCAGCCGTGAGTTGATGTAGCAAGAATATGCGCCTGAATCGAGGAGCACCTCAGTCTGGACTTCCCTTACTCCCTGTTTGAGGTAAACAGGTAAATCGATCACATGTTTTGACGAACCAGTAGATGCGATGTATAAAAAACTTGATACTGGTACATGCGAGAGCGAGTAGGTACTATTACATTGTCTATGGGAACTCTGGCCAGACCTCAGAGAACCCGCCGAAGAAAATCCTCATCATCTTCTACCTCCGTGATCCTAGCTGCTTCAACAGCTGGTTCCGGTTCTGCCTCCTTTTCCTTTCCCTTCACGTCATAGCTGGCGATGAAAGCATGGACTGCTTCATATCTCACCTTGCTGTCGTCGGAGATGTCTGAGGCCACGTTTGAAGAAATTGCCCTTGTTGCTTGGCCCCGCTTTGGCATTTTAAATTTGCCTTTGTATTTGGGGTCTGGGCATCACTGTTTCAAAATGAAGGGGTGTTTCCCACATTGTACACACAGCTTTTTCTCCAGCCATCCTTCTTGCTCCTTGGTGAGGGTGGATACTCGATCCACGACCATTGCATTGGGGTCTTTCGGGGCCCGTGGTGCTGATGATGATGTTGTTACCGTTCTGCGCTGTCCTGCCTTATCTGCCCTGAACTTGGACTCCAGTTGAAGGCATAGGTCGAGATATTCCGGCCATGTGACGGGGTCAGAAATTCCTAGACTGTCTCGTGTGACCATTGCCTGGTGTACGTTCTTGCTTCAGTGTTCAGCGATGTAACTGATGAGTGCAGTGTGCCCTAGATTGGTCTTAGTGGCCCATTGGGGGAACTGTTCTGCAAAGGATACCATTGTGGGATACGTCTTGTCGCAGATATCCTTCAAATGCTGTTGCACATCCTTGTCCGAGTCGAGAGTCCTGTAGTTCACTTTGAGGATATCGACGAAGTCTTCCCATGTGCCGAGTGCTTGCCGTGCTGCTGCCTTGGTTGCATATTCTGACATGTATGTGAATGTGCCACCTTCTAAATGTAACAGGGCCGTGGTAATCTTGTGTTCGTCATCGTTTATCTTGTTCCACCGCATCCATATGCTGAGTTGTTGGAGCCAGTCCTCCAGACTTCCTTTGCCTGAGTAGTATGGAGGTTCAGCTATTTTGATGCATGGCTTGTGCGATTGAACCATGCTGGATGTTTGACCTTGCATCATAGTGACGCCGCTTGCTTTGAGCAAAGCTAGCTCATGCTGCAGCTTAACGTTAGCTGCCTTGATTTCCATCATTTCTTTGTCTGTGTCGAGCATTGCCACCTGGGTTCCCGTGAGCTCATCATTTAAAACTGCCATATGCGCATCTTGCACAAGGATCCTATCTTTGAGCTTTCCGATCTCCATCTGGAGAACTGCCTCCTTAAGTCGGTGTTCACTTTTGTTGTTTTAGATCAGCGATTCAAAGGCTTTCTTGTGCTCGTACATCTTGTTTCCGAGCACATTGTAGAACTTGGCAATTTCAGTAGTGACCGTGAGCTTCATTGCGATGATTACCCATTCACGTATGTGATCCGGGACTTCTCCAGGAGCAGACTGTCTGAGAGCATCTTCTAGGTGCTCGAATTGGTGTTCATCAAACTCCCAGATGGGTGGAACGTAGGCAGATACAAGTGATGGTGTCAGGGATGCTGGTCCACCAACTTGTGATGCAGTATCCTGCAGTCCCAGCGCAGGTTCTGGTGAATTGTGCTGCGAGGCATGTGGGGTGCTTCTGTCGTGTGCTGACTCGATGTTTATATGCAGAATGTCATCCATTCTTTGCCTGAACGTGGATGCGTGCACACGATCAGCTCCTTCCATTGTGATGTAGGTAAACTAATACAAAAAGTTGAGGTATCGCTTCTTTGCGATAAAAACCAGAGCCTTGGCAATCTCCTGTAGTCTCTCCTCTTTTTCTATCTGCTTGAAACTGATCCCTCCTATCTCCAAACAGACCGTGTTGATCACCTGCTTCTCGATGAACATGTAGGTGCACATTCCAGTGTGTAGGTCAGCGCAGACCTTGTCGAGTTCCATGGTGAGGCTGTAGATGGGTCCTTGGTGCTGGTCCTTGAAACGATACAAAAATGCTCCTAAGATGGGTTGGAGCCTGAAGCGAGTAGCGTCCACTTGCTTCTTAAGGGTCTCGATATGAATCGTCGGCCTCACTCTAGATGGGAGTGGGTGGATGGGACGGGCAACCGTGTTTGTTTTGATAAAGTTTGGCAGTGGCCAGACTGGGATGGGCGCAATAACAGAAGGAGGAACTGCGTTGAATGTTATGAGCTCTGCTGGTGGTGCCGGCTTGCGACTACCCATGGTAAGATGTCCCTTTCTGGGCTTGTAGCGTTCGAGCGGTGGGGTGCGATCTCATGGCTTGCAGATAATTCTGTGCTTTATGATGTGTGTGGTATCTACGATCCTCGCTGCTGCTCGCTGCCTATCTGTGGACGATGTGCCTAGTGACGTGAGAGTGAGGAGTCTTCCATGCTCCTTGTTGGTTACCTGATGCTTGTAGTGAGCGTCGAGGTCGATTCTGGGGGTGGCCTTGCGCTTTGGTGCCTTGGGCAGCTCAAAGTCTTGCTGAGGCTCACGCCGGGTAGAAATCAGATTAGAATGTGTGTCAAAAAAGCTGCGCGCTATGGCTGAAACTGCTTGCGCTGAAAATATGTGGCCACTTGTGTTAGACACTAAGCAGGGGTGCAGAAAATGTCAGATTGTTTCTAATGTCATGGCAACACCAGACAAGAGATCAAAAAGACTAAAAGGGACAGTCACGTGGAACGTGCCGCCCTGATTCTCCTGATCTCAAAGTATCCCCCCTGAACCCTATGTGGCTCAAGAGCCTGAGACTTACTAGTTGAAGTGGCTGATGCAGGAAGGGGTAAGAGATATATGATGGAGCTTTGCAGCTCAGTAGGGTGCTGTGGTAGTAGACGAGGAGAAACAATCTAAAGTTTCATCCTCTACATGGCTGGTCTTATATACACGTACAGCGGGCTATCTTACCTAAGCTACCTATCTACGGGTATAAGCTAATGGCCGTACATGAAACAATAGGATGTCCGGAAGTAGAACAATAAGTGGGAAGATCGATGGTTGCCGCAGTAATGCGTGTGCACATCGTGCCTATCTTGGTTTCCCTTTTGTTCTCCGGTGTGAACATCGTGCCTATCTAGGCTTCTGGCTAAACTAATAGGAAGCGGAAGGGCGATGCCTAACAATAGTCCTTGTTCCCTTTGTTCCTAAATGGGTGCCTCTATTGTATCCTGGAATAGACAGGTCCGACCGTATCATCTGTGGGTCTGGACCATAACATGTGATGTGGACTATCACCTGATCTCTACACGTCATGTCTGTGGCTGAGTGGTGTGCGAAATTGGTGAAGCACGTGATCTGTGGTGTGAGAAAAGTCACGTGCAGACTTTGTGGTGAAAATCTGTGACAGTTATAATACTGCTTTGATGATAGTGCATGACATTCTGTATGAACTATTTGTTAAGTTTTGCGACAAAATTAAACTATAAATGTGAACTTGATTATTGAAAATCTATTAACTCTAATTGTGTACATCAGTCAAACACTTTATATTTTAAAAGAATCATTTAACAGAAGAATGATCAATAAAGGGTAGAATTCTTTTATAAAGTGTTATATACATCTCAAATGATGGCAGATCTTCATCATGTACAGTGATTCTTTCATTGTTTAACTGTGCAGTCAGTATTATTCACTGTGAGGTGAAGAACAGTGATTGCAAGAACGTTAGAATGCTGCTGCAAGAAGCAGCTCAGTTTTTCTGTCTGTATTCTGAGAGGATTAAATTTAAATACATTAAAGATCGGTGCGATTTGTTATAATAGCATATAATATTTGCAGCAACTGTAAAATGCATTCACAATTATGACTATTAGACTGGTAACAATCTATGCAGGACTGAAATAACTATAAGTTTATAAAGAATAAGAATAATAGCAGATAACATCTGAGATAAGGATAGATAATATCTGTGATTATTATCTTTGGACTGGCAATCACTGAGTGAGGCAATCAATAATTTGTAGTGAAAATGATAAATATATTAAAGAAAAAGTTTTAAATCTTTTAAGCATTTTCACTGTCAAGTTGTGATATAAGTATTTATAATATTTTTAACATCTTTTGTTGTGAAAGATGATAAAAACATTGAGAGGAGATTGAATGAAATATCAATAATTATTTTTTCAATCATTTTACAATTTTTCATACAAAATTATAATGAAAAGTTTTAAAATCTTTTTCACTCTTTTTTTAACAAAGATGATGAAAATATTGTAACTATGTCACATCCTTCTTATCATATACTAAGCTATTGATACTCAGATTTATATGTTAGCACTATACTAGTACTATGATGAGAAGGATAATGCTAAGATTGAAATGCTAGTACTATGCTAGTATTAAGGTCTGAAGGTTGATACTATGGTAGTACTAAGCTAGTGCTAAGGTCTGCAGATTAGTACTAAGGTTTAAAGGTTAGTAGTATGCTATGCTAGCAGTAAGCTAGTACTAACTGTCACGATGCACTAGGTCTTCTATTATCAAAGGCAAGGTAGGTGGCATGGGTGCTAGCCGTAGTGCTCTTAGACATCTAGTGATCCTCATATGACAACTAGAGTCTGACTACTCACAAAGGAGTGTGAAACTGCATAGTGCAAGGTGACATGATATCTCATAAACAAAGGATGGCCAGCCTCTATACAGTTAAGGAAGGCTTAGAACAAGCAGTCATCGATGTGACTGCTGTTGACTCAGATAGAGATAGGTGGCATACGGGTTCTCTTAAGGGTACCTCATGAAATGGGTGATTAAGACTGGGGTATCTCAGTCTTAGCATAATGCTTATACATATATATGGAGAGGTGGACCTCCTGATATTACCTACTGGGTTCATCTACCAATGCTACATGTGAATAAATGTTCTGAATCGATAATGGTTTTCAGGACTATAACCTTGCCTATCATCAATGGCCTCAGAGTTTCATAATCCATGTCTATGCTTGATCATGAGCTGAGCTTGTGATGCTCAGCCAGACTCTTGAAGGCTCAGTAATGGTGTCTTTGTCTACATTTTATCATAGCTTATTCTTAAATAAAAATAGAGCTAGAAATTCTGTGATATCAACATCTAAATATGAGTAACATGCTAGTACTAAGCTAATGCTAAGATCTAAAGGTTAGTATTATAGTAGCACTATGCTAGTACTAAGGCCTCAAAAAGTAGTACTTATGCTAGTACTGAGGTCCAAATGCTAGTACTATGCTAGTACTAAGCTAGTGCTAAGATCTGGAGATCAATACTATGCTAGTACTAAGGCTTCACGAAATAGTATTAACATTTGGACCTAAGTATTAATCTTTATATCCTGATATTGGCCTAATGTAAAATGATAATGATGTGACATGGTCACAATATGTATATCATCTTTGATAAGAAAAGAAGAAAAAAAGATTTTAAAACTTTTTATCATAACTTTATCTAAAAAGTTTTGAACTTTTGTTCAATATTTTTACCATTTTTCATCTCAAATTATTGATTGTTTCACCCAGTGAATGATCTGTGCAGGACATAAACAATTGAAGATAATATTTGTGACTGACAATGATTTATGCAAAACTGAAATAACTGTGTATAACATCTATAATCATGATAACTCTTAGACTGGAAATGATCTGTCCAGGACTAGACTAGTTGTAGGTAATATATGCAACTGGCAACAGTTTGTGAAAAGCTGATCATGAGATAATGGCTGACAATATATGAGATAACTGTTGCTATGCCACATCACAGAGAAGGCACTGACTGGTGAGCTGAACAAAATAGCAGAGCTATTTAAATGGTCTATGTGCAAGGGTCCAGATATATATTGTCTCACAGTTATAGTAATAGAGCAGCATCAGTTTATTCTTGATAAATATGATCTATTCAACAGCCAGCCTAGCCATATTCTAGATGAAAATTAATACTGATATTGCTTTACTGGACATCAATGTGAGGTAACATATTGTTACGGCACTAGCCACTAACACTAAAAGACAATCAAGCAATGCCTCAGGGATTAGGCTAATCACCTGTTAAGTGCTAGTGCTGTACAGCAAAAAATATAATGAGCCAAAAAGGGGCTGATTTTCAAAAGACTCACTGGCAATAGAGATGGTTATAAAAGATAACATGTTGCTTAGAGCTTATTAGGCCAGTAGTTTGGGATGTAGTAGGTGCTACACAAGATGAATGGATGAGGAGAAATGATCTGAGATTTCTCACTCTACAGGCTAATCTTATATATATGTACCTAATCGTATCATACCACTACTCTAAAATCTATGATTGGCTGGCTTCAGAGATAAAAGAAATATCATACATGAACTAGTACAAAAGTGGTCCAAATGCAACCTGATCATCATAATTCTGGGCTAAACTCTTCTAAGTCATTCTCTTGTTCCCTTTCAGATGCTGTGCTTGTTTTTTTTTGAGATAGACTAGTCTGATCTTGTCATCCATAGATCTGAACTATAAGATAATCTGACATCATGTGATGAAAAAGTTTATGTGATGTGAAAGTGCACATGATACAAAGGTCATGTGAGGACTTGTGATGTGAAAAGCTGTGACACTTATTTAGAAGGGTGTTATCACAGTGCTAGGCCACAATATCAAAGATAGAATAACAAAAGGAATAAGTGATCTCAGCACTAGCACCTAAGCATCAAAAGGACAAAAGTCTGCAAAAGCCTGTGAAGGCATAAAGGGCGTACCACTCAGAGACAAGGCTGCCGGCAGGTGAGGGATACTCACTAGTGCATACAGATGGCAAAGGGGCAGTCAATATATAAGGAGGCCTTGTTAGGGCACAGCAAGTAAGGTGATACAAGTGATACTCAGAATTAGATGAGGGAAAACAGTCTGACATTTCTTCCTACATGGCTAATCTTATATATGTAGTAGGAATTCTGATCAGGCTGGACTTACCATGTCATATAACTAAGGTAATTACATATTAGGCTGACTCATGAACAACAGGAACTATGTAAAAGAAAATAGGCTGTGAGCTCAGGTAGACCTTGATTGGCCTGGTTGTGATCTAGTATTTCTTATTTAAAATGAGGTTGCAAATAAGCTATAGCTAGAATGGTTTGGCTCATTCAATAGTCCCTTCTAGGGCATCACATTTATAATTTTTGGAGAAGATAGGACCGGATGTTGTCATCCATATGATACAATGGTAAGGTAGATCTGGTTCATCAATTAGATGTAAATTGCAGGCATGTGTGAGAGCTTG